GTATGGGGCCGCACCTTCGGAGGCACCAGTAGACTTTGGGACACTAGACATGAACTCATTCGCTTCTTTGGGGACGCTGGACGTGTCTGGGCTTGGCGTGGACCGCAATAATCCGGTTGGCTCTGTTGACATCTTCCAGGCTTTCCAAGGGCTAGCGAATTGCGAGGACTTCAACTGGCTTTCGGGGAGCTCAATGTAAGACTAGGAATTAAAAGTGCGTATAGACCGAGCGAACGATTATGATCACCGATACAGAGAAATTGAAACGCAAATATCAGCGCAAACATCTCACCCCTTCCCCTGACAGCTTTGAAATTTGATCCATCGAATGCGAAATGGTGGTATTAATTACGTGCCGAACTCATCATACATGCCCATTGACAAACATTCCCGCTGAAGCAATTACAACACCACTACAGACTCTTCCGATTTTGAATCCTTGTCAGCATCGCTGTGCAGCCTAAGAACGACCTTGATCTCTTTGTCAACAGACAGTCTCAAAAGGTCAGGTCTGCTGTAGTGACCCGTGCAGTCCGCAAACATCTTCGTCCTGTGAATCATGTCCATGTCCAAATCGGCGTACAGAATCGTCTCTGTGGTGTCATCGACAGGTTCCGTAAGCCTACGGCCATCAGGGCCAAAAATGGCCGACGTGCCGCCTCCAGGGCTGTTCATAATGGCACCCTGGGCGCTACCATGTGCCGCAACACCCTTCTCGGTAATCAGAGCAGTGCTGTGGAGCACGAAGGCATTTGACTCAATCGCATACGTGCGCGAGAGCGTTTGGCATCCTACTCGGGTTGTTAGTTAGTGCCAATAATTCGGAACCACTAGCTAATTAAGTGGCTAGTCATTGGTGGGATCGTCACAAACCTTCAGCGCTCATGGACCACATATCGGGGCCACCTCCATGCGGGGTAACGCTCGGCCACGCTGCGACGTGGATCTCCTCCTTCTGGGCGATAGTGTTGTACTTGAGAAGCGGCTGGATGTGCTCCCAGCAGGCCAGGGAACCGACTCGCGCGAACGGGAGCTCGCCAACGCTCTTCAGGCAGTGACCGGACGCATCGCCAAAGATGGTGCGCTCCATGTGTGTGGGCTTCATCTTGCGGCGGTGGACCTTGATCTCGCCGTCTTGGCCGATGAGGGCCTGTGCGATGAAGAGGGAGTTGTTGTCATTCTCAGAGAAGCCGAGGGATACGGCAATGTTGTTCGCCTTTGCACACGCCTGGATGGTGCCCATGTCCGGGGAGTCGACAGCGAGAGAGTTCTTAATGTACTTGACGTTGAGGTCGAAGTCGATGAGACGCGACCAAATCCAGCAGGGGTAGCCGGGAATCCAGCACTCCGGGAAGGCGATGAGCTGGGCGCCGTTGGAGGCGGCCTCAGTGATGAGCTTGCATGTCTTCTCGACGGCAGCGGGGAGGTCGACCCAAGCGGGCTCAGCCTGGGTGCAGGCGACCTTGACAGTGCGGACAGTCATGTTGATTCGGGACTGGAGAAGTGAAGGAGGGAATGTTTGAGGAATTCAGCTGAAAATCTGGGGTATTTTGAATTTGACCAAGCATGGAACTCTCTTTGGTTCCACGACCTTGGAACGGATGACGGGCATGTTTTATATCAACATGGACGAGTCCTTGGCTGACTACATGCAGTAGCTAATAGCATGGATCTAATCCCGAGTAGGCTGACCAGAGATAACTGTCCGTAATTACTGGCCCATGTTATGTTGGCTCTGCCTCAGAGATAATGGAGGATGGCGGACAAGCGGCCTCAGCTCTCTGCCGGTTCCCTGCCCGATGGACACCTGACTGCATTAACCCGATGGTTCACGGGTGTTATCTGCAACTAACTAACGGTCTCCACCGAGTTATCGCGGGGAACGGTGACCCCGCGTCAAGCAACCGGATGCGGGCCGCAGACGTCCGCATCGATATTACGTCGTGCGGCCCCGCAACTCGGGCGGAGTCTTAACCGCCGCAACTTGAGATGACAGATAGCAGGGGTCAATCCTACGGCTTATCAGGCCTCCCAGCTGAAGGCGAGGCGGTTGTACGAGGGCGAAACAGTCAAACCTAGAGTCTTATCATGGTTTCGCATCCTTCAATGGACACGGGGGAAATGTCGGTCTTATCAACTTCTTCGAGGCCCAGCAGCCAAGACCAACAGGATTTTTTTGTCATTTATCTAACTCCACAGGGACCTTAACAACCGAATCCTTTGCTGAAGAATCAGTTCACCACTCGGCTCAATAAGCGCCTCCCTCCCAGGGTCGGTCGAAACGAGTCCCCTGAGACCCTTCAGATTTCAGCTCGAGCCAATCGAGGTATCCCACCCACTTCTTTTCGGTAATCTCGCGCAAGTCGAACCCCTCCTGGCCAGCATCGACAGAGTAGCCATTGACGCTTAGGTAACTCCCAAACTTTTTGCCCTCTTTCCAACTGTCTTTCGAAGGTCTCCAAACCTTTGTCAGCTTCTTGCCTTCGACGTTATTACCCTGGGTTTCACCGTCGGACTTGACGCCCAGAGCCTCCAAATCGACATCTGTAACCTCGCCTTGTCCCATGAGAATGAAGCACCGCATCCCGCACGTCTTGCAGAAGAGGAAGTGCAAGTCTTTTTGGTAGACTGTGTAGTCACCAAGATCCTTGTATGGGTCCAAAGGATGCAGCAGGATGAAATCCTCTGGGGCCGAGTTGAGGCGCATATGGAAGAAGCCTGCCTTCTGACAAGTGGTGCAGTTGCATCGGTAGAATTCCTGATGGGCTCGTGGCCCCTTTTCTTTGGTTGGACGAGGTGGAGGCAGGGTATGGGGGAAGGTGAGGAATACGATAAACTGCGTCTCCCCACAGTGGCATGAACCCTTGAACGGACGTCGTGTGGGTTCAAGTTCAGTCATGGTGGATCGAGTAAATGTTGAGCTTGATGCCGAGTCCTTTTGGGATCTTTCTTTGCTGATGATGCCAAGTAAGAGAGGGCCTTTAAGCACCATTAAAGTCAATAAACGTGTCAGATGCGGGGAAGCTTTACGCGCCCTTGTGTGACATCCAAGCGTGCGTTTAGCCCAATCAACGCTGGTGTTAAGAGGCCCTGCAAGTATCGGTGGCACAGATTGCGTTATCAACTCCACAGCAGATGCAGCTCCTGTCAGCTTCACGATCTAAACAACATCTGGGCCTTTTTTTGTTGTGTTTTTTTTTTTGTTAAACGGTGTGCAATATTGATGGTCCTGTCCGAAAACACGACCTGGATTCCTGAGCAGCGATTAGGGCACGGTCAATGGTAGAAAATAAGGTCAAGCCCTTATTGAATCGCTCTGAAGTCTGTATTAAGGACTATCGGTCTACTGGTTGGCTTTCAATGAAGCCACCAAGAGGTATCCACCCAAAGCACATCTCAACATCATCCCGCTACGTATCGCAAATCAACCCATTGTTTAGCTCTCAGCTGTGGATTCAAAGCTTGTCACGGAGGCTAGAGCCACACAATTTCTATCCCCTTACCACGGCAACGGCCCTTGCCTATTCGAAAACGTTCCCGTAACGCCATCAGGTCCTAATGTCGCAAGTTCAACAGCCCGAATAGACCCAAGTGACGCCTCATCTGGGCCGGAGTAATCGGTCATGCTAGTAGCGCAGTACCCGGGGCAGCATGTATTAAACTTCCATGAGTCGTCGCCGTGATATCGCGAGGCAAATGTCAAGGTCGCGTGGTTCAAAGCCGCCTTGCTGGCCCCATACTCAAGGTAGTCGCGTTTGGGTCCCAGGCTTGGATCCGATCGAACCGCGAGACTCCCGAGCCCTGAGCTGATAAACACAACACATCGCGTCTTTGTTGACTTTTCCAAGAGGGGTGTGAAAGCGTCTGTGACTTCGACTGCGCCGAACAGGTTTGTGTCAAAGACCTCTCGAAGTCGTTGACGGAGGTTGCCTTCAGTTTTGCCGCGATTAATTCCAGCATTATTGACGATAACGTCGATGTAACCGAATTTCTTTTGCACTTGCTCTACAGCAGCTGCTATGCTCTCGTCGGAAGTGACATCAAGGACCAATGGCTCGACATCCAAGCCGGCCGATTGAAGTTCTGCGGCAGACTTCTCAATGGCGTCTTTTCGTCGGCCGGTCATGTAGACATGATAGTCTGGATTTTCCGAGGCCAATCGCTTGACGATCTCATAGCCGATGCCTTGATTTGCCCCTGTGACGAGCGCGATGGTCTTGTTTGTGGTCCCGTTAGACATTTTGGCAAACAGTATCCATATGGACACTGGCTTGTGTAAGTGTAGTAAGAAGTGCGTCGGAGTGATTAGTAGTGTACAAACGGAAGACGCGTCGAGTTCTTATGCTAGGCATCTGATGCGCTGCAAGCTTTGGTCTGGGAACATCAGATGAGTCCCTTTCGTAGCTCAAACGCGTCGCGAGGTATCCGATTCGGCACCGCATCTCAGACCGAGGCGACAAGCTCCAGATCAGATCCGTATTCGCGGCCATGTTAGGCTATTGTTAAAGCTTGCATGGAAAATGTCGAAGCTTCAAAGAGCTTGCATCCTTGTCGCAGCAACGCAGAAGCCACGGCTTTTCGTCTCATGTTTGCTCGGCCCGTGTACGGACACCGGAGGTGCGGAAAACGTTGATCGCCCGTTGAAACTATGTCCACGTGCTCCAGTGTTTCGGTCTCGCAATGGACATAAGATCGAGCGGATGGCCGATATCTCCTGGCCTTATTATCAAAAGCCATGTTTAGTCAATATGGCTTAAGCAAACAACATTATACATCGACGATTATTCATACCCTATGAAGGTGTAGTACACTCGGATGTGGAATGTAAAACGCCACTGAGAGTTCCTGCAGAGAACATGCATTAAGAAATCAATGAAAATAAGGTCCACAAGGCTTCAGGACCTCATCAGCGCAGACTTGTCGGCGATGAGCGCCAATCACTGGCGCTATCAACAATGACGATTGACAATCCATCAGCTTTTAGGTTTGCAAAAGTAATGGGCCCTAACCAGGGATCGAACCTGGGACCTCTCCCAGACCTGAATTGTCAGAGACAACCCTAAGGGAGAATCATACCGCTAGACCATCAGGGCTGATTAAGCGAAGAATCGCTAGTTGTTGGGTGTGGGCCGCGTAGCACAGGATCATCAACCTAGCCCGCATTGCGCTCGGAGTATTCTCGTATTGTGGGAGCATGAGCTGGGCCCATGGGGGGAAATTGAATGTTGCGCATAGTCGTTCTGTAAGCAATATGGAAATTGGATTCGAGATCAACGGAGTGGGACTTAGTGTTAATTACATGCAGGTACTCAGTTCTATGTACAAATGAGGTGCTTCATGTGCAGGGTCGCGATGAACCATCAGCTCCAGTCTACTTGATGTAATCCTTGCCCAGTGCCCACTTCGACTTGTCATAACTCTTGGGCCAAACACCACTCTTGCCTGGTGCCAGGATACCGTTGGGATCCAATGCGTCCTTGATGGTCTGGTTCAGTTTGCCCAGCGCATGATCGTTGAAGTCGTAGGTGTCCGCAATCTGATCCATTAGGGCAACGTGAGTTCGGAACTCGCCCCAGCCGTTGTCCGCACAGTCCTGGATCATCGTACGGACGAGCCACTGCGCACGGCGACGTGCGTCTGGATCCTCCCGGTTGTAAACGATGCATACAATGTTGTCTGTGCGGCCACGTGTGAGCAGTCACCATCTCAATGCCGGCTCGAGCCGGGGAACCCGCTGGAGAAACTTACGCATCTCTCGCATTCCGATGCTGAGAATACCGAAGTAGTCCATCTTGGCCTCGGCGAAGCGCTTCTTGGCCATCTCGTATTGCTTCTGCGCCGACTTGCCATCGACCTTGGAGATTGGGGAGAAGGACAAGAAGGTGCAGTTGGGAATCCAGCTACGCTCGCTGTCAGATAGGACGTCTCATGGGTTGTGGTTACGACTTACTGGTTCAACCACCTCAACTCATCCCACGTTGGGATACCCTGCATGGTGTCTGAACGACAGTGAAGAGTGCTGAACTCTTCCTTGCGGTCCTCAAGCAAGAACCATCGACTGCCCGGCACCTTGGTCATCTCCCTCTTTGTGATCTCAAGATGTGCCTTGCGGATGGGCTCTGGTCCGTAAGCAGCGCCGATGTAGACCCACCGTCCCAAGTTGACCTTCTTAGCTGCCGCATCAAGCTGCTCCTCAGTGAGGGGAACGTCAAGTCCTGCGTCCGTGTACTCTGTGCGGGGATGGTAGTGGGCAGCATCGAGCGCAATGTGACGCAGACTGGCAGCATTCTGAAGAACCATGTTCTAAACACATTCGTTAGCGAGCCCTATTGGGCAGGACGAAAGATCCGACTACTTACCACACGTAGGGGGCGGATTATATCGACAACAGCCGCAAGGTCCTCATCCTTCTCGTAGGTGACCATGAATGGAGTGAAGCCTGGTGCTGCAGGCATGAGCCACATGCCCATCTTGGTGATAATTCCATTGTTGCTCTGAGAGAAGATGCCGTCATTGATGGGGCCAAATCCGTAGGGGAATAGCTGCCAGCACTCGTTCTGGTGCTGGTCTTGGGGAGGAACGCCCTTTGCAGCTTGAGCACGGCCCTCTGGGCTCTGCATGGCGCCCATACCAGTACGAACAACTTCGCCGTTGGCAAGAACAATCTCCATGCCGCAATGCATCATCCAATGATCTCCGTAAGGTGTGAAGCCCACTCCATGATCTAGCGCGTTGCCGATCATAGATCCGTAGCCGAGCTCGGGAGAATCCAGCCAGACCTTATCGGCGAGTCCGTTGTCGTTGAGATACTTCTGCATTTGAAGGTATGTCACGCCAGGCTCGACGAGGCAGTAGCAATCCTCGGCATTAACCTCGAGGATACGGTTCAAGTGTGTTCCAAGATTCATGACCAAACTGCCAGACACTCTTGGGGCGGCACCACCGTAGCCAACATTGTGGCCTCTGCTGAAGGTCCATACGGGCACGAGAAAGTCGTTGCAGAGCTTGACGATAGCTTGAATATCGGTGACATTCTTGGGGTGGATGAGAGCGCTGCCAACGAATTCCTCTCGCTCATAGAGGTGGTGCATGTCGTGAGTCAAACAGTCGACAGTGAGGTAATCGCCATCGTCCAGCACTGTTTCATTGCTGATGATCTGGAGGTTCTCCTTTCCAACAGTCTGCAGCAGTTGGGAGGCGAACTCTTGGAACTTCTCGACGGAGACACCAGGTGGGAGGAATCTGGGGACTGGAACGGCCCCGCTGGAGCCATTCGTGTCCTTGACTGTGCTGGTTAGACCAGGCGCCATGTTGTGGTATCAGTGGTAGTGTGATGGAAAGATTCTTAAGACAAGTCTGGGAGATCTAGGGAGGTGTAGAAGCTCTTTGAAGTGAGTCGAGGACGATTTCAGTGGATAATTGGTGTGTGCTATGAGTAGAAGGGATGTAGCTCTTTTATTACTCGAAAGAACCAAAATGGGTCTCTCAGGAGCTCCAAAGCTATGGAGCTCAGGATGAGCTCATGACGGAGACCGCACGATTGCGGACGTTCGGGCTCCCGAAGCCGCCGCCGGCGATGTTCCAGAAACAGATGTGAACAGTTCATCGAACATGACTTGATTGAAGTTACATGATCCATGTGAAGGAGGTCCGATCCCTGAGGATCCAGTTCGACCCAAATTACTGAATTCGGGGGACGATATACGTATCGAACTCTGCCGAGTCCGTTGGGAATATCCGAACCTGAATCCCTACGGCCTTAAGGGTGTGATCTCGACACCACCGCCAGTTGCCGGTGGTGCATACCCGAAGCCTTATGGAACACTTTAAGGAGTTCAAGCTTTTCGAAAATGTTTGTTGTTCTTGTTCCATCTGATGTCAATGCCGCTCGAGAGTTGCATATTCCTTCCGTCTTTGGAGGCTGAGGGAGCCCGGCTGCGGTGGGATTCGTAGAAATGACTTGGGTACACCGTCATCCGGTGGGTGTAATTGGCCGTGACGGACGGGCTTACACGAATATTCGTACCCGTATATGTTTCGATTACGAAGTAAATGCCACTCCATCATGAATTAGTGTTTCGCCTGATCTAAGCACGTCACCATAGCAGGGCATCCCATGTCTGTTCCGGATGTCCATCTACGTGATTCAGCCTCTAGCGTCACGCTTAACTGGACTTGACAGCAAGAAAGGGCTGAGTTTCCTTGATCAAACAGCCAAATTCTGCCCTTTCAGTCGGTCGAACGTAGGCATACCCATGCAACCGGAAGGGCAGTGCCCAGGATGTTGCCGTGTCGTAGTGACGTTTTCGCAATCTGGCACCGGACATGGCCAGAGTCTGGCTCCTGATCCTGCGATTTCTCATCACGCGAGGAACGCGAGTGTATCTCGCGGCCAATGTTGCCGAAGTCGCGATAGTCGCCGTACGAATTTCCCTGTCTGTCAACGCCTGAAAGCCGACAGACATGGAATGTGACGTCCGCAGGATATCTCCGTGTCATTGAAGAGCGACTCTCTCGAAATGGAATGTTGATCGCCTAGGTTATAAAGACAACCTCGTGCTGCACATCATTTCGTCCGAGAGCAACTGAACCCTACCCACCGCCCACCTAAATATTTTGACTCTCGCATATTAACTTCTGTTGATCTTTTGACAATGGCACCAACTGCAATCCTCAACACCACTAACGATAGCCTTCAGTCACCTCTGAAAGCTCGTCCCTCAGCTGTCACCGAAGGCACTATTCCTATTGACCCGCCAGTAAACCCTAAGCACAGGTGGTGGTGGGATAGATGCGCGCCGCTCCTGAACACTCTGCTCACGAACGCTGAGGGGTACACACCTGAGGAGAAGGTGGACCACCTGCGCGTCTTCCGTGACGTGGTGGTGCCCTCCTTTGGTCTCCCGACACCCAAAGCCAAGGTTCGACCTCTGCTCACTTACGACGGTTCTACGTTCGAACCATCGTGGAACTTCACGAAAGGCGATGACGGAGTGATCCGCTACACCTTCGAGCCTCTTGGCGATTCCGCCGGTTCGGATGAGGATCCTTTTGCTGGGGAGATTGGCGCCGCCATGATCCCGATACTCTCGCAGGTGTCATCTGGAGTCGACATGCGCTGGTACGAGCAGATTTTGAGAAGGTGGTTCGTCACACCTGAAGAGGCTGCTATTGCTCGGTCGAGGATGCCGGCTTTTGTCAAGCGCGTCCCGCAACTTTTCCTCGCCTACGATATGAAGCGCTCGCAGCGATTTCTAAAGGCCTACTTCTTCCCCGTCCTCAAGCACTTCGCCCTCAACGTCAAAACAGAAAAGCTGGTCTTTGATATGATTCGCGACCTGCAGCCCTGCGGCGACAAGCTTTACAAGGCATCCGAGAAGCTCCAGAAGTACCTTGCCACATGCAAAGAGCCTTGCCCGGTGGAGATGATGGCGATTGACTGCGTCGACCCCCACAAGGCCCGAGTCAAAGTATATGCCCGCACAACGTCGAACTCAAAGGCGGTTCTCGCAGACGTCCTTACCCTTGGCGGAACCCAGACCGACGACGCAACAATGAAGGGCGTCGAATACGCAGAGAAGGTCTGGCACCTGCTTCTCGATGAGCCGGAAGGCATGGCCGCGAACCAGAGAAAGGATGCCAGAGACATGCACAACTTGCACAAGGGCATCTGCTTCGCGTTCGAGCTGAAGCAAAATGAAGAGCGGATTGACATCAAGGCTCACTTGCCATGGGGTCAGACGTCACGGAGCGATGCACAGACGATTGAGAACTTCACGCAGGCTCTGCAGAATGTAGGATGGGACGAGTCTGCAGAGAAGTTTTCCCGAGGCGCCCACGAAGCTGCCAAGCTGTGAGTAGAAACCTTCGACTCAATGCTGTATACAGTGACTAACTGAAGCTCATAGGCCCGGCCGAGATTACTCCAAGCCCGGAGGATTGTCATACGTATCATACAACTACGGCACCAAGGGTCTCTACATGTCCTCGTATTTCTCTCCAAAGGTTCAAGGTAACTGAACATGCGACCAACGACACCTTTGCGATGGCAAGATTTCATTGGAAGAATGGGGCGTTCTGCAAGATGGGGTTT